TGTGACTTTATTTAGAAATAGGGCCTTTAGGCTGGGCACGGTGGCTCACGCCTGTAATTCCAGCACTTTGGGAGGCCGAGGCAGGCCGATCACAAGGTCAGGAGATCGAGACCATCCTGGCTAACATGGTGAAACTCCATCTCTACTAAAAATACAAAAAATCAGCCGGGCGTGGTGGCAGGTGACTGTAGTCCCAGCTACTCAGGAGGCTGAGGCAGGAGAATGGTGTGAACCCAGGAGGCAGAGCTTGCAGTGAGCCGAGATTGCGCCACTGCAGTCCAGCCTGGGCAACAGGGCCACATTCTGTCAAGAAAGAAGAGAGAGAGACAGAGAGAGAGAGAGAGAGAGAGAAAGAGAGAGAGAGAGAGAGAGAGATTGAGAAATAGAGCCTTTATAGAGATAGTCAAATTAAAATGAGGTCATTGGGATGGGCCCTTATCCAATGTAAGTGGTGTCCTTACAAAACGAAGAAATTTGGATACAAAGACACACAAAAAGGGAAGATGGGGTGGAGACACAGGGAAAATGCCACATGAAGATTGGCATGATGCACCTGTAAGTCAAGCATGCCAAAGGATGCTTGCAAATCACCAGGACGAGGCAAGAAAGGATTCCCCCACAGATTTCAGAGGGAGTGTGGCCCTGCCAACAACTTGATTTCAGACTTCCAGCTCCAGAACTGTGAGACAATAAATTCTGTTGTTCTAAACCCCCCAGTTTGTGGCACTTTGTTACGGCAGCCTAGGAAACCATACAGCTACAACGTTCCTGTCCTAGGATAGTCCATCTCACTCCACCCCATCTTCATGGGGATCTCCAGGCCACTGACTCCTGTCCCCTTTCCCTCACTTCCCTCCTGGCCCAGTTTGGATGCCTCGGTCCTTCACTACATGTACTCTCTTGCTAGTCTCCTCATGCATTTTCCATCATTCCTACCTGTCTTAAAGTCAGTCTGGAAGAATGTAACTGTGCTTTTTCTGAGTCCTCACCTATCCTGTGGGTGCTGCTAGAGCTCACACACCCTGACCAATGGCCCTACAAGTTCATGGTCAAAAGCCTACACTGGGCTTTTAGCCCTGCCTGGTCATCCTCCTGTACCTCTCCTAGTCACCTCTCCCTAGTCACCTCTCCCAACTGCAACAACTATCTCACACATCCTTCCCTCTAGCTTGCTCGCCCCACTCTCAGCTATGGAGTTGGGCTCCTGCTTTGAGGAGATAGAGGCCTTCTGAACTCCCTCATGTCCCATCTTCACCTCTAGACCTATCTGCATACATATCTGTCCCCTCAACTCCATCCCTCCTGTTACAGGAAGTCATCCCTCCTCTTCGCTTGGGAGGCCCTTACCTCCATGCTTCTGGATCCCATTCACTTTTACCTGCTCAGGAACCTCATGCTGTGAGTTATCCACAATCTCCTGCATCCTTCATTTCTTTCCCTACTGGCTTCTTCCGTCTGTCAGCCTATAAACATGCTCAAGTCCCTGCTAGTATATTAAAAACTACAACAACCATAATAACAACAAAAACAAAACCCAACACTCTGTACTCCACATTCCTCTCCTGCTGTCTATCACCCCTTTCCACCCATTCACAATCCAATTTCTTGAAAGAGCTGTCTCTACTTCCTTACCTTTTGTGCCAAGACATGACCTTATGGTGGCAGAAGCCACACTGCAGTGAATTAAGGAGAAAGTGGACAGAACTAGACACAACTCTTGTGCTCTCTTGTAAAGTTGATCAGCCTTTCTGACTCCAAAGGGCTCATGTCTCTGGTCCCCTCCCTGCCATTCCTCCTGCAGGCCCCAGCTAGGCCCTGTAGAGACCAAAGAGGGAGAGAAAATGCCCCTCCTGGGACTCCAGAGCTCGCAATGCCACCTTCGGCAAAGATCACCATGATTATTCTATGTGATCCCTCCACCTTGGCCATCAGCAGATGGGATGAGATCATCAGCCAAAGGTCAATAGTCTGCAAGGTAGCCTGGCCTCAAAGCTCCGGAGATCCAATGCTACTCACAGAACTGCTGATGGCAGAAGACACACAAGTGAAGATGTTCAGAGAAAAAGCAGTATGCAGAAGCGGAGAGGGAACAAAATCCCTGAATTAGCTGAGAGGAGAATGGGGGAAGTCAGTCAGTTGCTGGCAGCAAGACACCTGAGTCACTGCCACTACAGCCATAATTCCCTTTAGGAGTGTATGAGATGCTTCATGACCCTGTGCATTTGAGAGATCTGGCTCGGCAGCCACTGAGGTTTTCTCTCCTAATCTCCTTTGAATCCTCATCACGTACCCCTTCCCCAGTGTCCTCCACATCACTCAGAGCTAACCTATCTTTGAAAGCAAAGGATGCAGTATTTAAAGTTTTGACCACTGCCTGCTGGCCCTGTGGTCACCTCACCCCTCCTCTAAGCCCTTATCAAGGCCTTCAGTCCTCCAATTCTCTCTCCCTCTCAATCCCTCCTGCCTGGTCTCAGCTAAGTGCAACATCCTTACATTGCTAGGCCCATTCTACTACACATTCTACTACAATGTGAGCCCAGAAGAACCCCAACCTTCTGCTTTCCTGACTGGACACCCAGGCTGCTGGACACATTGGAGAAAATCTCAAGATCCATGGGAGATCCAACCGATTCAATTCTTCAGAGTTCACTACTGCCCATAATCCTGCTCTAGTTCCCGCAGCACCCCCTGCTACTAATGCAACCTTCACTTCTCTTCTCATGCCCCTGACCCTGAGAGTTTAAGGCCAAGGTGAAGCAGAAAAGGAGCAGCAAAGGGAAAAAAGGCAAGGATGAGACCTGGAGAGATATGTGGGATTGAGGTGGGGTTTTTTTGTTTTGTTTTTCTTTCTGTTTTGAGACGGAGTCTCGCTCTGTCGCCCAGGCTGGAGTGTAGTGGTGCAATCTCGGCTCACTGCAAGTTCCGCCTCCAGGGTTCACGCCATTCTCCCGCCTCAGCCTCCCGAGTAGCTGGGACTACAAGCGCCCACCACCATGCCTGGCTAATTTTTTATATTTTTAGTAGAGACGGGGTTTCACTGTCTTAGCCAGGATGGTCTCGATCTCCTGACCTGGTGATCCGCCTGCCTTGGCCTCCCAAAGTGCTAGGATTACAGGCATGAGCCACCGTGTCCGGCCTTTTTTGTTTTGTTTGCGGAGTCTTGCTCTGTTGCCCAGGCTGGAGTGCAGTGGTGCAATCTCACCGGCTCACTGCAACCTCTGCCTCCTGGGTTCAAGCGATTCTCCTGACTCAGTCTCCCAAGTAGCTGGGATAACAGGCGCCCACCACCAGGTCTGGCTAATTTTTTTTGTATTTTTAGTAGAGACAGGGTTTCACCATGTTGGTCGGGGTGGTCTCGAACTCCTGACCTTGTTATCTGCCCACTGCAGCCTCCCAAAGTGCTGGAATTACAGGCGTGAGCCACCGCGCCCAGTCTTGTTTTTTTTTTTTTTTTTTAAAGATGGAGTCTCACTCTATTGCCCAGGCTGGAGTGCAATGGCATTATCTCGGCTCACTGCAACCTCTGCCTCCCGGGTTCAAGCGATTCTCCTGCCTCAGCCTCCCAAGTAGCTGGGATTATAGGTGCATACCACCATGCCCAGCTAATTTTTGTATTTTAGTAGGGAGGGGGTTTCACCATGTTGGCTAGGCTGGTCTCGAACTCCTGACCTCATGATCCACCCTCCTTGGCCTCCCAAAGTGCTGGGATTACAGGGGTGAGCCACCATGCCAGGCCTATTTTGTCTTTTCAAGACGGAGTCTTGCTCTGTCACTCAGGCTGGAGTGCAGTGGTGCAATCCCAGCTCACTGCAACCTCTGCCTCCTGGGTTCAAGCTATTCTCCTGCCTCAGCCTCCCAAGTAACTGGGATTACAGGCACGCACCACCATGCCCAGCTAATTTTTTGTATTTTAAGTAGAGATGGGGTTTCACCAAGTTGACCAGGCTGGTCTTGGCCTCCCAAAGTGCTGGGACTACAGGTGTGAGCCACTGCGCCCAGCCTATTTTCTGTTTTTGAGACAGGGTCTCACTCTGTCATCCAGGCCAAAGTGCAGTAGCACAATCATGGCTCACTGCAGCCTCAACCTCCCGGGCTCAAGCGATCCTCTCACCTCAGCCTCCCAAGTAGCTGGGACTAAAGGTGCCTAGCTAATTTTTAGATGTTTTTGTAGAGACAGGGTCTCACTACTATGTTGCCCAGACTGGTCCCCAACTCCTGGGATCAAGCAATCCTCCTGCCTCAGCCTCCCAAAGTGCTGGGATTACAGGCATCAGCCACTGTGCCCAACCCAAAGATGTTTCTAAGACAGGAAAAAGCATGTTTGCAAACTAGTGGAGTTGAGGATAAATGTTTATACAGATAGGTCTGTAGGTGAAGATGGAACATGAGGGAGTTCGGAAGGCCTCTATCTCTTTAAAGCAGGAGTCCAGCTCCATAGCTGAGACTGGGACAAGGAAGCTGGAGGGAAGGAGGTGTGAAACAGTTGTTGCATTTGGGATAGGTAAATCATTAATAACGATAATAGCAATTAACACTTAATAGCACTATGTGCCAAGGTGATATCTAAATGTCATATATGTATATTTCCTTATTTAATCTCATAACAACCCTATGTGATAAGCACTATTGTATTCCTGTTTTATGGATAAGACCACTAAGACACAGAGCAGTAACTTGCTAGTAAGTGGCAGACCAGAATTGAAACGCAGGCAGACTGGTACCAGAGTCCATGCTCACAACCACTATACTATACTGTAAGTTGCAGATGGAGAGAAATGTCTGACCTGGCAGTGTTCCTAAACCAGGCCAAAGCAGGATTAAATAACTACCCAGGGAATTAGATATATTTAGTACTGACTGAGGCTTCTTGTCCACACTAGATTCTCCCAGCAACATCCTGAGCCTACTCTTCCTCTCTCTTCACCGGATCAGCTCCCAGGGGGTAAGGCTAGGGACTCCCATTTCTCTAATCCCACTCCACATAGCAGGCTGAGTAGAGGCTCATCAAATAGGTAGAAACTTTATTTCCTAAATCCCTCCCTGGACCTCTTTCAGAAGGCAGTTCAGATGCATTGTAGGTAGAAGGCAGAGTAAACCCTTATTGAGCAACGCGAAACTTGGCAGAGGCCCCACACCTGTCACTCTTCACAGCAGTCCCTTCCCACATGCTAGAGGGAAGGGAAAGCATGACAGGGAAGTCCACTTCTGTGGACTCAAACCTTGATGGGGATTTGCACAGTCACAGGGCTTCTCAGAAAAGGCACAAGCATCCCAGACATTCAGGCCTGGAGAACAGGCTGGCTCAGCAGGTCTTCACGATCGGGTGTCTCGAGCCCTTCTTCGGGAACGAGGGCCACAGCTGGAGCTGGGCATGGAACCCAGGCCAGGGGGTGCCCCTGGGGGTTGGTAGCCACACTCATTGGGGTCCAGGGGGTCCCGGCTGAGCAGTACCCACACTGCAGGCACATGGCGGCGCACTGTGAGGGGGTCTAGCCCTGTGTCAGGTGAGGCTGGGACCCAGCTGTCCTCAGTCTGCAGGAAACGTAGCTTCGTGAGCTGGTGCAGGCCTGGGACCCTCCGCTTGACAATCTCAGCGCAGCTGACAGCCTTTCCTGCAGCCCTGCCAGAACCTGAGAACACCACATGCCGTGCACTGCCGCCCTCCAACCGACCCAGAGCCAGTCCCAGAAGGTTGCGAATTTTGCTGCCATCTCGGACCCGCATCTCAAGGGTATCAGGAGGTAGCTGGGGCATTGGGGAAGGCGCTGGGAGCTCTACAGAGCCAGCTTTCCGGTAGTGCTCCATCCTGCTTGCTGTCTTGAATGTGACTCTCGCTGCCCACTGCAGGGAAGCATCAGATGAGTGCTAAGCAATATGCCCCAAGTCACTGTCCACCATCCCCTATCTCCATTCAGGATATGGCCCTGCTCCCCGTTCCAGACTTCCCAGAAACAGGATCATGTCCCCTCGTCCTTAGCATCTTGTGACAAGGGCCATGCCTGCCGCCGTCCGGGAAAGGGCTGTACCCCATAAACTCCGTTCCTCTACAAGGGCCATAACACCCCCACCTCCAATCCTGGAGTCCCAGAGGCACGACCAAACTCCCCAAACACTGAGCTCTTTGGGATAGTGCCAGGCCCCCTCATCCCAAACTCTCCCGGACTGGGGCCTAGCCCCCCCTTATCCTGGACTCCTTGGAACAGGGCCTGGAACCCTCACCCCAGATTAATACCAATAGAGAGCGCTCCTCACAAGGACAGGGACAAGGCCCTTAGCCCCAGGCCCCCCCGGGAAACAGCCAAGAACTCTTACCCAGTGCTGCCCCCAAACAGAACTGAGCCCCTCTCCCAGAGATTACCAGGGTCGATCCATATTAACCCAGGTCACTCAGAAATTCGGGGGCAGAGGCTCGACTCGGAGGGCTGCTCAGGCTATTCCAAGACAGCCTTGGCCGTTTCCATAGCCACAGTCGCTTCCAGGGTCCTGCCGGCCGCTGCAGCCAAGCAGCAGGCGTCCTCCCACCCTCCGAGTATCCCTCTGCCCGCCCGGTTCCGGCTCTCACCGAATCCGCCTCACGCACGATCCGGAGCCAAGATGGCGCACGGGCCCGGAGTGCGCTAAGGCCGCGGGGCCGCGCACGCCCCGAGGGGGCGGGGCATGAGGGGTGGGGCATGAGGGACTGGACCGTAGGCATCTCCGCCCGGGAAACCCGCCGGCCAGGGCGCCCCGGACCAGTCCCAGTGGATGTGGGAAAACGAGCGCAGCCTCCGCTGTTACGCCCGGAAGGAGGCAGGGTAGTTCCCTGCCGTAGAAAGGAGCGGCCGTCAGGGAACTCCTGCGTCTTAAGGAGGGGGATCTGGACTTTAGAAGATGGGAGGGCTGGTGTTAGCTGTTGAGCAAAGCGGGAGCAGTGGGTTTCACCGTGGGTGCGAACAAAGGCGTCAGTTTGGAGTGGCTGCTGTTGCACGGGCAAGAGCCTTAGTTACCGACTTCTGAACTTCGACCTCATCCTGTGGGCGCTGGCAGACCACGGGGGTTCTCCAGGGGCCAGTCGAACCAGATCTTGTGAAGGGAGCCCAGGAGGGAGTGATGGGGAAATCCGGCCGCAGCCCCTGACGACACCTGCCACGGAGTCTGGGGGCTGAGGGGGCGGGGGTGCCCACGGAGCCTAGTATGGTGCTTGGCGTATGACCGGCGCTCAAATATTTGTTAAATGATTTGTTACATTAATGAACCAGAGAAATCGCAGTGGGAATGGAAAAAAGATTAAGTTGGGAGATACTAGTAGGTAGGTTCAGTGACAAGCTGGCCACTGTTTGGACAGAGAAGTAGGAAATTCCGAGCTAGGATGACTCCCAGATTTCAGAGCGGTTTGGACACGCTGAATTTGAGGTGCCGGAGAGGTCGCACAGGCAGGGCGGCCAGCGGGCCGTTGGAAAAAGGGTCTCGAGCCAGAGCAGTCCCTGAGACCACAAGGGGGCAGCAAACATTTGGTGGAGTACAGTGCCAATCTGTTTCTCAACATGCTTGCCGCAGCGCCCCTACTTCCCCAATTCTCCTCCCCAGGACCAAAACTTCCTGCATCCAAACTTCTTAGGCTGCCCTTCTCGGCTAGTGGTAGCAGGTAGCCTCCCAAGAGAGAAATTTAAAGGCCTTTGCACATGCTGCTCCCTTGGCTCTGAAAGTCCCTGGATATCACTCACCAGGTCCCTTCAGTCCCTTTTTTCTTCTGTGTCCACCTGATAGGACCGCCCTTTTCCTGTACTGTCTATCCTGCTAGCCTGTGCAGGGCAGGGATTAGGTGAGCCCTATCTACTCCCATCATCTGATATTTGGAGGTCTCTTCTTGGTAAATATGGGATAAACGAATATCCTAGTCACACAATCAAATGAGAGCCTTCATCTTGAGAGCTCTACACCTGTCAGAAAGCCAAACCAGGATGAGTTTAGTTCCCAGTCCAACGATTAGGCAGGTTGCCACTTCTGCCCCCCACCACCCCCATCCTAGACCAAGAAGCTAGCACACTCCTCCAGTCATCTCTATGGTTTATTGTCACTGGAATAAGAACACTGATGGGGGGAGGGTGGGTGTTGCAAACTGCAAACCTCAGGTCACCTGACCTCCAACTTTAGAGCTCCACCTGAGTAGAGAGGTGGGCCTTGAATCCAATAAATACAAAGCTTCCTCTGCCTTGTAACAAAGACAGGTTGGCATAGGGCCCTGGAGCCTGACTGCCCAGGCCCACCTTGGGATGGGGAGCAGCTGTCATTCCTCTGCTGGCTTCACTTGCTTGGCGGCCTCTAGCTGGCAAAGTAGCTCATCCCACTGCACAAATTGCTTGGATAGAAGCATTGTCTGGTTGTAGGTCAAGGTGAGAATAGGAGTCTGAGTGAGGAAGTGCATGGAAAGTGGGGAACAGGCAAACATAGGTGGGTGGGATAGGATGAGAGAACGCTAGAGGTGGAACAAAAGGACAGGGCTTAGGGACAGCACCCATTAGGGTCCTAGTTGAGCAGAAAGGATACAGTCTTGTTGTATTCTTCCAGGAGAGCCTTGGACTCCTCAGTGATCTCCACACACTGGTCCTGTAGGGCCAAAGTGTAGCACAGAAAGGAGCCTGGCAAAGCCCACATCTTCCACTAAACTTCCTGCCTTATCAGGGACTCCCACTCCCCATGGAGCCTAAAAAAAGATGATGCTTAACCCCAAAGCCAAAGGAGCAAATGGCTATGGGAGCACTTGCAGGCTCCAGGATGGGTGCCCTAACAGCAGTCCAAAGACTGACGGGAAAGGGAGTGGCCATACATTAAGTAAACATTCCCCCTAGTATATGTCTCCTCTTCTTCTGTCCTTATTTCTGAACTCTCTTTGAACTTTACACTAGGGCCTGGGAATAGTGAAAAAAGAGCTCCTCTACCCACAGTCAAGGACATACAATCCCCAGGAATTCTTGGGTACCTCCCAGCCTCAACCTTATAGTGTCTCAGTAAAGTCCTGCTCTGGGAGGCAGAAGGTTTGGACATGAACCTAGGCAAGTCCCTTTACCTCCCTGGGGCACATGCAAGATAAAGGATAAACCTCAAAGTTTCTTCTGAGCTTACAACAGAAGGGCCTGAAGCTGCTTCCCCAGGTGGCATGAGTGGGGATGAGGTGCTGTGCCACCTCTATCTTCCCTTCTAGTCCTTTCCCCTCCCATACCTGCTGCTGAATGTGGATCTGGGCCAAGTGCTGCAGGCGGGCGGCATGCTCAGGAACGGCTGTAAAACACAACGCACACTGCTGGATGATGCTTGTGCCCTCCCCCGGGACTGCTCAATAGTCTATTAGGTCTTTGGCAGGATTAGAGTATTGAGTGGAGAAGCTAAACAAACGCCAGACTTCATTGACTGCTGCAGCTGGAGGTGGCGGTGGGGGCTCCCTGCCCACTCCAGTCTTACTCCAGGACCCATAGGGAAGGGGAAGATACATGTCCTAAGGAGAAGACAAAACCTTGGGGTTCCCAGTGTTGCTCCCTACCACCACCCCAGTGCTATAAGCAGGACCAGGTAAAGAGAGCTTTGGCTATCATAGGACCTGTCCCTTTGCTCTCAGCCCAGTGGGGCCAGGTCTGCCTGGTCTAGGGAACAGGGAGCCTGAAGATGGATGCCAGGTCCCTAAGCTGGAATCCAACAGCCCGAGGGTTGGCCACCATGCTGGGCTCAAAGCTTAAGGCTGTCAGATATTCAGCAGGCAGCTGATCAGGAGTAGGGAGGGGGAGCTGGCAAAAATACCTCCAGAGACAGACAAGATGGATATCTGGATTCAATTAAAGCCACTGTCTGCTTGTCAAAGTCCAGGCCCAGGGATTGTCTCAGCAGTGCAGCAAAAAGAATTCACATACATTCACGGACCTGGCAGAGACTCTGATAGTAAAATCTGGGTTCTGCAGCACCTTGAAGGAGAGATGCTTGGGGGTAGGTAGAAGGTAAAAGGAATTCTCAGAGCTGGGGACTGCTAGAACTTAGGCTAGAGTTCTCAGGCCCAAATTGTCTGAGGTCCTAAAACTGGGCTCTCTACCCTGGTAATTTTAATTCATGGATGTGGCAAGTACCTCAGGGTGAGGATAAAGATAAGGAACAGGCCAGGCACAGTAGCTTACACCTATAATCCCAGCACTCTGGGAAGCCGAGGCGGGTGGATCACACGGGGCCAGGAGTTTGAGACTAGCCTGGCCAACATGGTGAAACCCCATCTCTACTAAAAATAGCTGGGTGTGGTGGCACACACCTGTAATCCTAGCTACTTGGGAGGCTGAGGTGGGAGGTTTGTTTGAACCGGGAGGCAGAGGTTGCAGTGAGTCAAGATCATGCCACTGCACTCCAGCCTGGGTGACAGAGTAAGACTCTGTCCAAAAAAAAAGAAAAAGAAAAAAAGATAAGGAACAGACCCAACCCGAATCCACATAACCTGAAACACAGGAAAGTCCTGCCCATCCATCCACCTACCTCCCCAACCAGAGTAGGGAAGCTACAACCCCAGAGAGATACCTTTGATGTGAGCACTGTCCAGCATGGGCACCAAGGCATTCACCTGCTCCAGGAGTGCAACCTGGGAGAGGATAAACTGCTCCTCTAAAGCAAAAATGGACAAGATAGTTGCAGTGAAGCAAACATTGCTACGCAGCCCATGTAAGGGCCTGAGGACCTGGCAAGGGAGATGGCTAGGCCCTAGAGCTTTGGACAGTGACTCTGTCCACTACCCCCTTCTCTAGGTGCACATTTCCATCCTGCCCCCAACTCTCCTGGATGCCTCAGGTCTGACCCATCTGAGCCTAAGGAGCCTCTGAATTTCTCCAAATCCCACCTTTCTCCAAGGTTTAACTTTAAGGCCTCTTTTTCTAGCCTCCTATCAACAAACTCAGGGAGCACCTCTTACGCCACAGGATACAAAGTACTTCAGACTTGGATCCCCACACCCAAGGGTCCCTGGGAAGGTCTAAAAGAGGAGATATTGGCAGACTATGCCAGGCAGGTTCTGCTCAGGGGCTCTCAGAGGCATAGACAATTATATGCTGGAGGATTGCTGGGACAGTAATGGAAGAGTCCAGTGAGGAAAGCAGGATCTGGGCTAGGCCCTATATGCACAGGGGATTTTAATGCACTGAAATCCACAGAGTGGGAAGGTTATTCAAGAGAGATGACTGTTATGTGCAAATGCTTAGAGGCAGGAATGCTTGTCAATTAGTAGATGAGAAAGAATTCCATTAGCTGAACTGGAGCAGGGAGAGCACAGGAAACAGAGTTGGATGGGAAGGTAGACCCGGCAGACTGAAAGGTTGTGAATGGCAGACTATGGAATTAGGAATTTATCCTAACAAGGCAGAAGACACTGAGGTTCCAAAGTAGGCCAAGTGACATGCTGGAAACATGTTTTTGTGAAGGTGAGACTGAACCACATGCAGGAAGGGAAAGATTAGGGTCGACAGTATGATTTAGGAGACTGTGCAACCATTCATGTGCAAGTGGATGTACAATTCCTGAGGCAGTGCCACAGGGAGGGATGGAGAGGCTGGACTCAAGAGTCAGTGCAGGAGAATATCTAAACTTGGTGCTTGAGCCATGGCAATTGATCAAGAGCCCTTTGGGAACTCTGACGGCCCTTTTAGCAGGAGTGGCCCATCCTTACCCAGTCCTCAGTGCTGCATTGCACTGATCAGTCTCCTGGGAGACTGATCTCCCATCTGGGTTATAAGCTCAGGTCCCTGAAGCAGAGACCCTGTCTCCCCTAGCTCTGGCTGTACACACGAGGGCAGGGACTTTCTGGTTCACCAGTGTATGCCTCCTCACCTAGGAAAAAACCTGGATCAGAGTAGATGATCATTATACATCTTTTGGATGAATAACAAAGCTCAGAAAACCCTAGCTTATAGAATGGCTGACTGATTAGCAGACATTGCCAAGGCAATAGTTCCTGCCTAGAACTTTGAAACTGCAGAGCTTTCTCACATGAAAGAAAGATGTTGAAACTCATGCCAGTACTCTCTCTTTTCTTTAATGGCAATGCTCTCTGCCCCTATCCTTTCCTAGAAGCTCCTCTGTCTAGTAAGCAGAAGTGAGGAAGGTTCTGAAGGAAAATCCAAGAGGCAGGCTATTGATAGAACACTGGACTAGCTCCCACTATGGCTGGCACCATGGCCTGCAGCTGGCCCAGAGGTATACTGTACTCAATGTCTACTAGAGGATCCACTGGATCCTCAACCCAGAACCAGGCCACAATTCCAGAGAGCAGCATCCAGGGGTTGTATCCATCAGAAGACTGGATGGGGAGGCCATCTCTGTGCTTAACCTCCCCAATGACCCATATCCTCAGATGCATGTACACATGTAGTCCAGCATTACCTGCTAAGATGAATTGCAGCTTAGAAGCATCAGGTATGGCAATGCGGTCGATGTACTCCGGATCCAGGTACTTGATCAGATCTTCAACTAGAAAAGTAGCGAGATGGGAAATGGAATAGGGTTGGGCAGTAGAACACTGCCTTATGAAGGATGTTTGACAAGTGGTCAGCCTTGAGGAGAGCCTTCAATGAGGAGCTGATACCCAACAGTGCTGCTTGAGCAGGGCTCCACCAGGCTCCCTATCCCCACTTCCCTATCTCTCCACTCTCTTCTCTTGAGGTCTCTTCTGACATCAAGCTTCAGAGCTGAAAACACAATTGCCACCACCACTCTGGGCCCTCAGCATTCTCACTGACCTATCCTTATCGAGGGTAGAAGGCCTCTTTTCTCCTAGATGTCAACAAGACAAGCCAGAGCTTTGTCTAATTTCTAGTTACTAAGCAGGTTACTAGCTCTGACATAACCAGGCTCTCAGTGTCTAATTTGTTTCCTGCCTCTTAACTTTGCCTGGGAAATCTCATACCCTTTCTACCCTCCTTCACTAAGAGAAGCTTTCAGGTAGAGCTCTTACCTCATAACTAAGGACACTGTCATGGGCTTGAAGTTTAGCCACAAGGTAGAAAAGCACACCCCAATTTACCAATCGAATTGGGTGCAGGTAAATGTCCTCATAATCTTTCTATCCCCAAAGGGCTATTCCAGTGACTTAATGAACTGAAAGGCTAGGGCCAGGTCCCAGGAAGCCTAGGGATGGGATGTCAGGCAGGCAGGCACATCATGGAAGCACTTACTCTTTTTGTAGAGAATCTTCACCCTCTCCCTCTTGCTGGCAATGTTCCCCAAAGCCACCTGCACCTTGACCAGGCCGTCAGCCACCTGTAAGGGAAGTGGTGGTTAATTCCAAGATATACTACCTGGCTCAAGGCTTGGAAGAGCTAAATAACCCTCATTCTCCTAGACTGTCAAACCTGAATCCCAGTAATCTAGGTTGGCCTCCCTTCTCTAACATTAAAAGAGATGCAGCCCCACCTTCCAGGAATCCTCAAAGTGGAGACAGAGAATCATGTACTCCTTGGGGAGTTTCAAGTCTGATGGGGAAGATAATGAACTATTTTAGAGTCTATGGAATATATAGTATACACAATATATTTTCTGGTTCCTAAGCCCTGGGTTTGGGCATGAGAAATGCAAGCATCCTCATTCAAGCCTTCATGAGCTCTAGATTGGCTGGCCTACCTCTAGCCCTATCCCCTCCACATCAAATTTAGTGTGAGAGATGGAAGAGTCCAAACAACTGGGATCCCAATGATGGTACAATCACTGACTTAGGGAATACAGAAGAGAATCAGGTTAGGGGAGAAAAAGAGTACAGTTAAGAGCATACAGATTGAGTTTGAGATGACTATTGGATAACCAAGTGGAAAAATCCAGTAGACAACTGGACATGAAAGTCTGGTTCTCAGAACAGAAATCTGGACCAGAGATATACATTTGAGACATATTGACATGTAAATAGTAATTGACACCATGGAAGCGAGTAAGCCTACCTAACGTTTAAGGTAGAATGTAAAGAATCCCAATATTAAAGGGTCAAATAGAGGAGGAGACTAAGGAAGTGACTGCACTCACCCAGTTTTTAGAGTAGAGGATGAGGAATGCCAGGGAGGAGGCAAATAACACTGAGAAGCAGTAGTTAAGAGGTAGAAGGAAAACCAGGAGGGTCAGTGTCATTGATTCCAAAGGAAGAGAATGTTTGAGAAGTTAGTTCTGAAATGGGAGCACAGTCTGCTAGTGACAACTAATTCCTCATTTAGTGTACAAACAGACATCATTACCTTGGACGCACTTAGCTCCAGGACATGCCTGACACGCAATTAGAAGTTCTTCAGTAAAAGGTCTTCCCATAGTAGAAAGGTGAGGAGAGAGCACCTGAGCTTCCTAGTTGTCAAAATTCTGTCACTGGTATAAAGCAGTGCTAGTCCACATCTGAACACCCAGTACCCAATCTCTTCCCTTCCTAATCCTGGTCCTTTCAGACCTCACCTCTCACCCTTTGGAGCTTTCCTTATCCACCTCTGCTCTGCCTCCTCATGGGTCCCATGGACCTCTTCCTGCACAATTCATTTAGCAATTAATTACGCAGGGCTCCATGACGGGACTTCCTATCGTGGACTTCAGCTTTTATTGAAACTCTCATTAGTCAGCTTCTCGAGTGTGTCAGGTCTCCCCAACTACAGACCGCGAGGGCAAGGGTGGAGTCTCAGCCACAGTAGGTACCGAGCCCACTCTCAGGCTAGCTTAACCACCCGCAGTGCCCCCTATGACAATGGACCCCGAGGGTCCAATCAGCTCTGGGAGGTTCCAGACCTTTGTTATTTCAAAGGCCGGGCTGCGGAGAACAGGACTGGAGCGGTTGCATCCCGAGGGCCGGGACAGTGGACCGCTCTTGCTCTGTTCCAGAAAGGGACCACCGGACCAGACTACTCACCTTCCGCGAGCCGCGCGCCCCGCCCGGCCCGTACACCCAGCGTTCCAGCTCTTCCACTCGGGCCTGCAGCCGCTGCACGTCAGTCAGACCCGCCATCTCCACTAACGACCCACTTCAGCCGGGAAACGGCCAGAGGGTGGGACGTCCGTCCAAATAGGAAGGCTAGCCAATCCGAGTGCACGAGCAGCTCTTTATGCAGGAAGTGACGTCATGATTCAGCCCTTCAGTACCCGAATTTACTGCTTGGAGCTGTGAAAAGCTGATTACCTTGGCAACGGCTCTGTACCAGCCCTCCCCGGCTTCCAGCGCCTGGTTGTCAAGACAACCTTTGCTTTTCGGGTGCCAAAGAGCTTTCCCCACGCCATTCCCTGAGTTTGCACGTGTTCCAGGGTAGGTCCATTCCCATAGATACATCATTAGAAGGCTCCGTGAGTTACCATAAACTTTTGGAGTCTTCTAAAGTTCAGTTGATTAAGTAACTTGCCCAAGATCACCCGGCACTATAGGGACAGAAATGGGACTTGAACTCAGGTTGTCTGATTCAAGAGACGGAGCTCTTCTATTCTCACGGAACTTTGCTATTCTGCCTTCCCCTCTGAAAGGCCCTGGCCCAAGGCAGCCCATGTTCCACATCATTCCTCCCCACCTCCCATACCCAAACAAGAAAGGAGGCATCAGAGAGGGAGGGATCGCAGCTTTATTGTCTGGATGTGACCTGAGGGATGTCTCTTTCACAGTACCCCAACCCAACCTTTCACTTGGCTCCTGAAGAGAAGCAAGGCTGACTCAAAGGGGTAGGGTTCTAGAGATGACATTGACAGAGGGGACACATGAGGAGATGATAGTGGTTACTGGAGGAAGAACACTTTAGTAGATGCTGCTGGAATTGGCCGGGGAGGAGGTGCCCTCCCTTTACAGTGAGGTAGGTGTAACATCAAAAGAAACTTTGGTTTTAAGTCTACATGGCATGGGAGGTATGGTCCCCTCCCAGGGCTGGGTCCCAGAGTGGGCAGCCAGAAAGAATCAAAGCAGGGGGACTCTTCCCCACTCAGCAATGGGGCTGGGACTCTTAGTTTCAAGTAGGACCTCTTAGGGGAAGGTGCTGGAAGGGGGCCCTGTAGAGGGTGGGGGTGCAGGGTTGGTTGGACCCTGGGAAGCTGGCACAGGCTGGCGGCGGGCAAAGAGGACACCTGGCAAAGGGGTGAGGAGATGGTAGAGGGCAAAAACAAGCAGGAGGGGGTAGGATATGGAAACAGAAGAGGGGAACAAAAGTAAGTGTTCTGGTTGCTAGAACGCTACACACGTACCCCTGCCACAAACCAGTGAGGACAAGCTCCTTGGGTCAGTAAGAGACTCCATTGCTAATGTAGATACCCTCAAACAGGTAAACAATAATATTGATGCTGATACATAGGCCCATGACAAGGCAGACATCCCCTGGTACTCATGCCAGAGAGGTCATGCCTTGTATCCCATGCCATGTAGGCACCCCCTTTAACCCATGCCAGTTTAGCAATCCCCTGAACCCCACGTTACCCATGCAAGTTTAGATATCCCTGAACTTCATGCTAGTAGAGGAAGTCTAAAATCCCCATGCCAGCCTAAATACCCCTGACCCCATGCCAGTGTAGACAGCCTGCAGTACCCATACCAGTGTAGACCACCCCGTTGATCTCTAGGGCCATGTTGATACTGCTGATGCCACTGCCTGCCAGATTAAGAGGCCCATCCAGCCGCTCTTCTGTCCAGGAGGGGGCAGAGGAATCACATTTTGGAGAATCAGACTTCAGACTTATTAATAGAATTTCCCCCCTCCATCCCTGTAGACAGCCCCCATTCCACTTCAGCCCCACACGTATACTCACACAATTGTCTATAAAGGAATCTGTCTGCCCCGTCTCTAACACCTATCAGGTGATGGGTCAATCCTCCCTCAGTGTACAGTCCCGAAGCCCCCTCACAACAAACCCCTCCTCACCCCTCAGGGAAACCTTGCCACGGGGCAGGAAACTGGGGGGCATGCCAGGTCGAGGTGGGTCCATGGGCCCCATCAGCACAGCTCTCTTTTCTGGGGGCTCCTCTGGTGCCAGTTTCTCCCGTGTAGGTCCCAATGCCAGGCCCACAGGCAGTGCCAGGCGAGGGGTTGGAATTCCACTCTCCTCTGGAAGAACAGGTTATTCAGCTCCCCTGGCCAAACCAACCCATCTCTGCATTTGGTTCTCCCCCAGGCCTGGGACCAAAAGAGGTAACTCAAGCTCATGTACCAATCTCTCATCCTTCATTCCATCTATCTTCCCATCCAGAGCCTCAGTCTGGAAGCGCTGAAGCTTTTCTCTAGAGCCCAAAGGATCAATGTACATGTCTAGAGAATTTGGGGGTTGTTTTCGACTGTTGGTTATTAAATAATCCAGGTCACAAGAGGCACAAACTATATGCAAATAGGAGCACTGGGTGGACAGGTGTGGAATGGAGTTGCTGTGATTAAAAGACCTTTTCCTGGCTGGGCGCGGTGGCTAAGCCTGTAATCCCAACACTTTGGGAGGCCGAGGCGAGCGGATCACGTGGTCAGGAGATCGAGACCATCCTGGCTAACATGGTGAAACCCCATCTTTACTAAAAATACAAAGAAGGCCGGGCGCGGTGGCTCAAGCCTGTAATCCCAGCACTTTGGGAGGCCGAGACGGGCGGATCACGAGGTCAGGAGATCGAGACCATC